CCGAATGACTTAAACTCAACTCTCTTAGTTTGATAGAAAAAATTTACACGAACACTGTAGCAGATAAGCCATTTGCATATGAAAACCTGATTTTTTTTTTTTTTTTTTTTTTTTTTTTTTTTTTTTGAAGAAAGTGTTAGTAATTCTAATTATTAGCCCGAGTACTAATTGAGGTATAGAATAGAACCAACAAACTTGTGCCACTAGGTCCAACATGGGAAATTTCTATATAGAATATATTTAAGGAAATTTTCACTTTGTGCCTTTGGCACATATTAAGAGTGCATTTATTATAATTTTTTATTGTTAATTTGCATAAAAAAATAAAAATTGATTATAATTTTATCAATTATTCAATTAAATTATTTCAAATGTCATTAGTATTAAAAACAAAATTTACTTTTGTAATATTTTATATAAATTAATTATAAAAAAATATAATAAATACATTCTTAACCTATACTCTTAAAATACAGATTAAAAAAACCTTATATTTAAAGACAACTTTATCCTTTAATTGTGCGTAATCTCTTATTGCAAATGCTACGGGGTATTTGCTTTTGTGGTTCTTTTCTCCTTGTTTTGCTTTTTCATGATCAAGATAAACATGTTTTATTAAACTAGATACTGTAAAAGAGAGCAAGAGAGTAATTAAGCTTTCTTTATAGACAATGAGTTTTTTTCCTCAACCTAGAGAATAAGAGAGCAAGCATTCTTTATAGACATGATGTTGGCTTGTATTCATGAATTGATTTGGTGGGTGGCGATGTAGTCATGCCACCCAGTGATTTTACTTTTATTTATTTATTTATTATTATTTGTTACTCTACATTATATTGGATGGACTTGTGAATTTGTGATCTAATATATCTATTCCGTGTGAATATAATTAAATTAGAACAAAAAATATTGATGAATCCATTTGAAATATATATTAGCTAGTGACATACCATGTCTGATCGATTAATCTGATTCTTTTTTTGTGAAAATACATATCATGTCTTAAACCAAAAGAAAAAGAGTCAATTGGGTTCTGAGTTAAACTCACATAATTTACAAATAGAGTGAACTAAGAAATGAAAAAAAAACTACCTTCTATTATATAAACTTAAGATTTAAAAAAAAAAAGTTTCACTTGGGTTTTCTAATTTTCACCTTAGATTTCTTTTTTTTTTTTTTCTTTTTTGTGGCAAATTCTGCTTGGTTTGTTAATTAGTATGCCTGAAAAAAAAGAAAAAGAAAAAAAAAGAAGGTCTTAATGGTTATAGACCATTTTTTTAATATAAAATGACATTTTTTTAGAAAATTATTGTCAAGAATCTGTCTGCCACATAATTCTATTTTTAAGGAAAAATTGATGTGTGATAACATCACATGTTAAATAATAAATAATTTATTTTAATTGGTGATTTAAATAAATAGTTTTTTTTTATTTTTTATTTTTTTTTCTAAAAAAAGTAAATTTGTCCCTACCCACTAATTTAAAGAGTGAATTTGGGGTGTTGGCCCATGATCAAGTGTGCTGGATTCTCTGAGTCTATGGTAAAATGGGCTAGCAAGGGCCCTAATTGTCCACAGTAATTCACACTTGAATTGGGCTTTTATTAGCCTTCTTTCTTTGCAGATAACGAATATATGTGATATGTACTCTCTTTTTTTTTTTTTTTCTTTTGCCAAAGGAAATATATATCTCCTCTTTGTTCCTTTTTTTTTTTTTTTTTTTTCCTTTTTCCCTCTAAACACACAGCTCGTTAGCAATGATCAAGCTCTATATCGATGAATTAGATTTTAATCGTGAATAATTTAATCTAAGTTATTTGGGCCTATGGCCCATGTGATTGACCGGCCTTGATTTTCCCCACTCAACTTATGAAAAATGCCTTTTGTATAATCGTGGCTTTTCAAAGTTCTTGGGCCTTTGGCGTATATATTGGGCCCAACTTGAATTTCCTCAACCAACTCATCACAATGTGGATTGTGTAGGGCGAACTCTAAAACAATATTCTCCTTGTATTATTGCGCAATAACGTATATTTATTTTGTTAAAGATAACATATATCTTCTCTAATTCTTTTTTTTTTTCTCTCTCTCTCTAATTTTATATAAAAATGTCTACTCTTTAATGTGTTCTACCAAACGTTAGAGTACTTAGTAGGTGCACGCACGGGTACGGCTCATTCGCAATGGTCGATGAATTAGATTTCTAATTAAAATAGGAAAAAACACACCCATCTAATGATCGATGAATTAGATTTTATTTTTCATTTTTTGGAGACCAGAATCTGAACAGAAAAAACATTGAAATTGCAGAACTATTTTATTTTTACTGGCGTTCCCACAAAAACATTTCTGACTAAATTCTTAGTTTGAGGACTACTTGGTACACGCAAAATCAGTATGGAAAGATTCAAGAGAAATAGATTAAATTCATACACGTACATAGATATTCTTATGCAAAACTTAACATGCACCTTAGTATCTATTTAGGGCTTAAGGGGAAAGGGATGGATTAATTTTATTGCGTTGCAGCATTATTGGCTTTTAACTAGCTAAAATGTTATTTAGATCGAACAGTCTAATGTGGTGCATAATATACGCTAAGAGGCAGTTACTATCTCTAGCTTTCAAAGGTTGACTAAAATTAAAGTGTTAAAAATCCAATATTACTATGTATTAATTTGAAAGGGATTTTTCATTAATTGAAAAGAAAATTTTAATTCTTGTGACTCCTTTTATTATTTTAAGATAAAACCAATGACTTAGTTAATAAAATGGTTGTGGTCCTGGTCATGATTGAGCTTCTTTGTTTGAAAAAAAAAAAAACAGAAATGTTCTCTAATTTTTTTCCCTCTTCAAAATTTACTAGCTTTAATTCTCTCTATATATGAACTTTGAATGGGGTTTAATGAGCTTCTTTGTTTGCAAAAAAAAAAAAAGGGGAGAATATTCTCTATTTTTTTTCCTTCAAAATTTACCAAACTTTCCCCCTCTTTGAGTACACAAGCAGTATTTTTGGTAAATGTGGCATGTAATAACACAACAGAACCCTAATCCATCCCACCTATATCAAATATGCATTAACAATGATCAAAACCTAATATCTTTGAATTGTTGAATTAGGAAAAACCATCTATCCATTTGCTGTGGTCGACACAAGCTCTCTATCGCCCTTTCCAACTTCCTAGTCTCCTCACCCCTCCCCTTTCCATCTTTGGATCCTTGACGCTTCTTCCTTTCCATTGCTTTCCTCTATCTTGCTATCATTTTCCTTCTCTCCTTTTTAATTGTTTTGTTTCCCCTAATATTTTTCCTTTTACTTGTTCAAGTTTATTTATATATAGCTTGACAAATAGGGAAGTCCTCTCCTTGTGTGTCGTTCCATTTTAGGCCACAAGGGTTTTTTCGCTTCTAGAACGGGGCATCGTCCCTTATGTTGACAACGAGGGTACAAGTGCATGTTTGGCGATCCCCTGCGAGCGCAATTTGGGTCTGCATTGGAGTTATCGTCTTGGTAACGGTGGCTTTGTTTGGTGTTGGATATCCATGCGTGC